TGCTGCAGGCCAGGGTGAACTTTAAAGGGGTCGAGAAGTCTTTTTTTTAAAGTTGTTGTTTGCAGGACAGAGCTTTAAAGTTAGTTTCAGAAATGTTTGTCTTCTGGTTGTGACGTCAACCCTGTTTGAGGTTGCTCTCGGGCATCGTAGACTTCAGGGGCCCTTTTGGTTCCTGGCCAGGCTAGGTTTTTTCAACCTGCCGCACGATGCTGTGCCTTGGCGTTTTTGATGATGCTTTTTTGTATGGTTTTGTTTTGGTTGGGTCTTTTCTTTTTGTTACAAGGGGATATGTATGGATCATCCCTGCATCCAGTTGCAAGCATTTCGATTCCAAGACGTTACTATGCATAATGATTGGTGCTGATAATGTTTCCATAAGATTGGTACTTTTTTTTGGGGGGGTTTCTTTTGGATTACGGGTTTTTGAAAGTATAGCTATTCTGAGGTCAGAGTTGCCACGTGGTATGGTTCAACCTGGCTGGAGGAGCGAGCATCTTGGGTGAGTTTTCGTGCCGAGACGCGGCTTGGGGCCTGGGCCTATGCTGCAGCGGAGGATTTTCTTCGCCTGCACCTGCGCGAGGGGCGCAGGTGGCAGGTCCAGCTTCCGTTTCATGGCGCTGCCTTCCGTCAGTTGCAGCTGATGCGTGGGCAGCTGCAACAGTGAATAGGAAGTAAAGACTTAAATCCTAGCTGCCTAGCTTTGGGCTTGAAAATGGGTCCAGTAAAGAAACCAAGAATTTTGTGGAGATTGGTCTATAGTATATAAATGGCGATACAAGGGGGGATAGATGGGGATTATGATGACAGAATGACTGTGGTGTATTTGGTGATTTTGGATGATAGCGCCCCCAAAAAAGATGCCTCAAAGTGTTTCCAGGATGTGAAAGCGATGATATTTTCCCCACAATTGTTGCAGGTTTCCAGCTTTTCTATCTGTTTTGGAATGCTATATCCTTGGGGCATGAAACCAACTAAAGAAGCAACCGGATATTTCATCGGATGTAGCTGGGGTTTGCTACTGGTTTAAGTAGCCAAGTACGGGGCTTGATTCCATCAGAATCAAGGGCAGAACCAAGAATAAATCTGGTTGGTGGTTAATCTATGGTTAATCTATGGTTAATAATGGTTAATAATGGGAATAACAATAAATCTGGTTGGTGGTTTGGAACATTTTTTTATTTTTCCATATATTGGGAATGATCATCCACACTGACTTGCATATATATTTTTCAGAGGGGTAGGTCAACCACCAGCCAGAAATGGTACTACAATAGGAATATCATGAAATGGAGCTGAGGAAACCATGGGGCGATGTATCTGGCACAAAGGGTGAAATCCGCTAACAATTTTGTGTAGATATTGTGACAGTACAATGGGGATATAATGGAGATATTCTGGGAATATAAAGGGGGTATATAATGTAGGGGATGACCATATCATTAGTGATTAAAGTACCAACTGTCCAGTTTTTGTAGCATTAGAACAAGTTGGACACCTGCAAAAAAACATGGGGCAAACATCATCTATAGAGAGCCAAGTACGGGGCATTCCTGCCCACTTCCAAATAAGAAAGTGGAGCCATTCTCAGAAAACTCGTCTGCAACCCACTCCACTATGGCGATATGTGGAGAAACCTGCAAGTATCAGTTTAAGCCACACAACATCCACATGTTCCACTTTTTTCCTGCCATATTCCGCAATGTTGCAGAAACAGAAGAAAAGGTGGCGCAGAATAAAACAGGATATTTGAGCAGTATTTTCCAGACCCCTGTTGGTTGATGATTACTGTTTAGGGGATTTATAGCACCAACAGTATATTGGCGAATATCATTATCCATTGCGGAAAGCCCGACCATAGCCAACCATTGTAATGGAATGATAGGGGGTGCTATAGAACACTGCGCAAAATTGTTGCGTTGATTTGCTGTTGCCGACCTTGGCTTGAGATTTCAACGCATTAGCGACTTGCAGTGTTGCTAGCTCGCTTTCCTTTCAATGATTCAAGTAACTGTTGCTTTGCCGAGTGGTCGCAGTGAGGACTTGTCAGTTCCAGCGTCCTCCAAAGTAGAGGATTTGAAGACACTGGCCAGGAAGTCCTTTGGAAAAAACTTCTTGAAGCTTTTGACATCAGAAGGCCGTGCCCTGACAGATCCTACAGAATCTTTGCAAACTGCAGGGATTCAAGATGGAGACCACCTTACAGTCATTGCGCAGCCTGCGAAGCTGGCAGCAACAAAAACTGCCTACGCATTGTGGTGCTTTGACGATGACCAGATCGTGACTGGGGGCGATCCAAATGGCGGAGGCGACAGCTCTGCGGTCCAACATCAGCTGAGATGTGTGCAGCAGGTTCGGGCCACACATTTTGCCTTTGCTGCAATCCAAGCAGATGGATCCATTGTGACATGGGGCCATCGAGACTATGGTGGTGACAGCTCCGTCGTCCAACATCGGCTGAGGAATGTGCAACAAGTTCAGGCCACACGTTCTGCCTTTGCTGCGATTCTGGCAGATGGATCGGTCGTTACCTGGGGCAATGAAGATGAGGGTGGTGATAGCTCCAAAGTTGACGATCAGCTGAGGAATGTGCAGCAGGTTCAGGCCACACATCCTGCCTTTGCTGCGATCCTGGCAGATGGATCGGTCGTTACCTGGGGCAATGAAGATGAGGGTGGTGACAGCTCTGAAGTCGAAGCTCAGCTGAGACGTGTGCAGCAGGTTCGAGCCACAAACCACGCATTTGCTGCAATCCTGGCAGATGGATCCATTGTGACATGGGGCCATTCACACTACGGTGGTAACAGCTCCATCGTCCGACATCAGCTGAGGAATGTGCAGCAGCTTCGGGCCACACATTCGAACTTTGCTGCCATTCTGGCAGATGGTTCTGTTGTGACCTGGGGTCCTCCTCACATGTAGTTCAATTGGGGATTTGCAGCTGCATCAGGTAACTTGTTGGTGAACAGCTTACGCTTTGGATGCCAGGCAAAAAAAGACGGGGGCAGCTGTGTCTGTCAGACTCACCTGTGTACTAAAGCGGAGGTTCCTCAAGCTTTCGATCCGTACCCTAAAGAAATGTTTTGACTTTTGCTGGCGAAACCCTTGAAGAAGTAAACTTGGCTAGTGATTGAAGGTATGATATTTAAGGTCACCATCTTTAAATATCTCCAAATAACATCTTTGAACATATGTAATAGTTACATATAGTTACTGTATTTCATGGTTTCATTGTTTCTTTTCCATACATCGTTTCTTGCGATTCTGTAATTCCAACGTAAAGCTACCTCCGTGTCGCCTTTGTGTGCTTGGGAGTTCCCTGGCGATGCGTGACGTGGGATGGGTTGGTTGATCATGGTGGCTATAGATGGGTACAGCGCAGATCACCTATACCCATCACCATGATCAACCAACCCATCAGTATAGATGTACCCCAAAAAGATGTTTTCTTAAAATCAGCGATATATATATATATATATACATAATATTGTATAATGTATGAGGCTTTTCAGTATCTTTTTTTTTTGGGAGAAAAACCATGAGTGCCTTAAATTATTTATATATGGGGGTTTCCATAAATGGTGGGTACCCCTACATATGGATGGTTTACAATGGAACATCATATTAAAATGCATGATTTGGGGGTACCCCCATTTCAGGAAACTTCCATATATATATATAGTAACTAGTAACTATCTCAAAATGGATTGGTGATGCTGGGTCCGAAAGGTGAGGAAAGAAAATCGGGCCAAGTACTTAACAAAAAAACGCATAAAAAAGATGCACTGTTACGTGAATGTGTTGTTAAGCGATTAAGCACCCATATAATATGATATAGTTATATGTACTTACAACATATATATATATACATATACATACTGGTTGGTGGTTTCAACAATTTTTTATTTTCCATAATATATGGGATAATTCTTCCCATTGTCTAATATTTTTCAAGATGGTTCAAACCACCAACCAGATATGTACATATATATATGCAATCATCCATTAATCCAACTGGGGATATTCCATAACTATGGTATTAGGAAACATATGTTAGCTGCAACTTGACCCACTTACGATGCCTCGGATGCAGCTGCTCCAGACATGCTGGATATCCAAGTTCAACTGAGCAGTGTCTGGGAAACTAACATAGCTATTGAACATGGCCATTTATAGTTGATTTACCCATTCAAAATTGTGATTTTCCATAGTTTTTTGTATGTTTACCAGAGGGTACCCTCCCGTGACATCAAACGTGGCTGGCTGGAAAACCTCCGAACTGAATGGAGGTTTCAATGGGAAAATCAGCGAACTGAACGGTAGATTTTCCAGCACGCCACGTGTGATTACCAGAGGGTAACCTACCCATCCCATCCATACGTGCATGATATATTTGATTGAATTCTCCTACTTCACATCGGGGTGCTTTCACGGGATACATGATCTCAGATTCAAGATGGATAATTAATTAGACTCAGATTCTCAGATCCCATATGTCAGATTATCAATTAGACTAGATGTCCGAATGAATTCAACACACACACACACAGAAAACAATCAAAAGTAGCCCAAACTCCAGCCGGGTGTATCACCATTCCTCCATGAACATCGCAATGAGTAAGGGTAAAAACCATTAAAAACCTGATTCTCAGACCCGGCCCGAACATGACATTGTTAGTTATACAGTACAATCTATGAAATACCTCATTGATTCTTAGGCCCAGTGATTCCAATCCATTCCTTTATGGGGTCACTCAATTTAGTCCCGTTGAATCCCATAGACTCCATTGATATCCCATGACGATCATCACATTGATTCCCCATCTTCGTCAACAATTACCCTTTGGTAAACATACCAAACAAACTAGGGAAAATCACCACTTTTTAGTCGAAAAATCAACTATAAATGGGTCATTTTCAATAGCAAACTGTTAACGTTTACCGGAGGGTAACGTTCCAAAAAAGCCGCGCAAACATCCACGGATCGCCTCTCGACAGACCAGGTAAAGATCCCTTCAAAGAACGCCTTGGCGCAACACATGGAGGGCTTGCGCTTTCTTAAGGTTCAGGATTTGCAGGCTGACATGGCCCAGGGGGGAGTTTGATGGGCTACTGAACTCACGGGCTCCTGAACAAACTAATGGGATGACTCGTGGGATTGTCACGAAAGCGATCGACAGGTGGAGGAGGATGCAGTTATGATGGTTTTTTCATGGGGGTTTGATGGGAATATCAAAAAATGGGAATGGATACTCATGGGATATATGTATAGATGTATATAGATGTAAATATATATATATATGTATATATATATATACATATATATATATTATAATGGGACTGAGTTTTCTAAAGCTGAGAGGACACCCAGTGATGAAGGACACCTTTCTTAAGTTTCTAAAGTTGATACAGTAGGTTTGTTTGGAAATTGAGGGAACGTCGCCTGGCCAGAAACCATCCTGTGAAATTGTTGAAGACCTTCAACTAGGAGTGTCAACCGCATTTTTTTTTCCTTCCCAGCTGCACCAATTCTGGTGTAAAGCTGATGACTGATCGAACACATGTGGGGTGGTTTGGGTTTCATGCTTTGGAAAGAAAGGTTGACCCGGTAACGGTAACGTGGCGTGATGGAAAATCCACCACTTGGATGGTTTTCTTATTCAAAGCTCCATCGTCACATCCGGATTTTCCGGCCATGTTTGATGACGAGGATACACCTCCCAATCATTGGATCGATATTGGGACATGACCCCATCAAAATCCGAAGTCGTCTACACTCCCTAAATTTGCCCAACCAGAATATATTGATTGATATTTTATGGCCATAGCAGAAAATCATCTCAATCAGATTCGTTTTTTTAAAGCTAACAAGGTTATATATCTGAATATTGGGCCAATAGCCAACCCGAAAAAATCACATCGATCACATCGAATGCTTGACGAGGCCACAAGACCTGAGGATGTGGAGGAAATCCTGAGCAAGATACCGGACTTTGATGCATTGCAGATTTGGTATGGCGGGAGTTGGCTGAATGGATGCGCGAAACAAAAAAAACATGAAATTTCATGACTTCGAAGTTGAGAAGCAAAGTTAAGACATCGGAGTTAGAGTCAGTGAATTAAGAATGAATTTCACAAGCTCAAATAAATACATGAACGATTCCCGAGCAGCGGAATGTTCACCTCACGAAGACCATACTGGACTATGTCAATGTCATGTTGTTCCATCGCCAGCTTCGATTTGACAGTAGCCACCAGCCATCACCCTGCTGCCAACATCAAAAAACCATCCGCTGTTTGGAAGCTGGCAGAAGAAAGTCCCTGAAAATCCCAGATTCATAGCCATGAAAATAGATGATTGGGTCAAAATGGTGGCTTTTAGTTGCCAGAAATTACTGAAGTGGTTCCACTCTTCCCAGTCTGTTTCGCACAATCTATCTATCTCATCATATTATCTGCAGCTTTCTTTCCTGGTGTGCCATAATTTTCCCGCAAGTTCTCCAATTTCAATGCGTCATCTTGCCACCAGTTTCACCATGTTCCACCAGTGCTCCACATTTATTTTCTCGAGCATTTCTCTTCCATTCCAAGTTGATCTTTCCCAGCATTTACCCAGCATTTTCCTAGCATTTACCTAGCATTTACCCAGCCATTAGGAGAGCTTCAACCAAGCCCTGCACGAGTTGATCTTTGACCCTCAGCTGGGCATTTTGGCCACCTGGTCGGATCTGGATGCGGCGCGGCAGATGGAGGAAGTAGGCGAGCACGGGACCGGTTTCACGGAGGTCATGGGGGAGGTCATAGAAGTCACTGGAAGATTTTTCTAGATGTTCATAGAACAGAAACTAGACGACATATATATATATATATTATATATTATATATATTATATATATTATATATATATATGATACTATGAGTTTTTTTGACTTTCCAGACATGAATCATGATTTGTTTTTTTTTTGAAAGATCAAGTACTTGAGGGTGCAGTTGGGGTGATGATATAACCATGGTGATTCTAGCCCCATGAGTTGGCAAAAATTCTACAACTAGGACCATATACCCATTCAACTTAATTGGACCTGCGCCCCCAAGTTGGGAAGATATAATAACATATATGTATAATTATATATATGTATGTATATGTATATTAAATATTATATTATATACATAAATACATTGTATTATATTATATATACACATGTATATGTGTATATATATATATACGGATATATATCCAGTTTCAGAAATATTTCTATAATTTGATATAGTTTATGAGCTTAAATCATTCGGATTAATTAGAATGACCTCAATGTGACGTCACTGGAATGATGGTCAGGAAGGGAATACCACTATATCTGGTTGGTGGCTTCAAACTTGAATTTTATTTTCCATTTCATATATGGGATGTCATCCTTCCCATTGACGAAGTCATATTTTTCAAGATGGTTGAAACCACCAATCAGATATATGTAATGTCAACCCTGGATTAATAAACCCCTAGGTTGTGTAATTGGGAGGGTACCATTTAAGTATCAGAATATGACTATTGGAGGAGTACCCCCCTAATTAATAAACCATGGTTTATTAATCCAGGGTTGACATTATATATATATATATATCTATATCTATATCCTTTGGTAAACTAAGATAGCTATGGACAATCACCAGTTTTAAAGGGTAAATCTTCGAAGTTTTTCTGTGTATAGCTGGATCTCCTTGGTGGCTTGATCTTCCGTGGGGATCTTTCACGGAAAGATAGGGTGGTAGATGGTTTTTTGTCATCGCAAAAAAGATCGAAAAGTCAATCGCCACCAGAATAGTGATTAGAATTTAGTAAATCCTCATTTACCACGATTCCAAACTTCAATGTCCGAAAGGAAAATCCATGGATTTTTTTCGGGACAATGATGGGAGCCTCCCATACTCCCATACGAAACTGCGATTCTGATTCATTGCTGAATTTTATGAGCTGAGGAGCTTCAGTGACACGAAAGCCATGTTTTTTTTTTACGATCCAAAAAATCCAATTCTCTGATTTGTTTGTTTTGTTTTGGGGGTTGTTTCACCCGAATGAACTGATTTAACCTGGAAACAACTGCAAACATGTGGTTTGCACTTTAAATCGACATGTGATATTTATCTCTAGTTGTTGCACACATGGGGCCGGAAAGTATGTCACTCGGAGGGAACATCTCAAAAAAAGGATTGACTCGCAGAAAACAGCAAATGTAGCGATTCAAGAATGGAAGCTATCGAACCCAATCCCGGTCGTTTGATATGAGCCTGCGATCTTCTGCAACTGCTTTGTGGTTTCAAATACCTTTAACATCCTTTAATTGTAACAAGAGGAGTTCTGATGAGGCAGGTCTCATGGCCGTCACGAGGTGAGAATGTGACATGGCCAGGGGTTGGAATCGGAGTATTCTCACAGATGATACAGCGGAGTTGCAATCTTTCTCCATATGATACAATCCAAATCAATCCCATGAACATGTAGAAGGACCCCAACACAACTGTTTGAGATGGCAGTTAATGCAGTTCCACACTGATTTTATTTGTGTAGCCTCCTGTAAACCAATGATGTGGAAAACCCACCATAGATGTGTTTTTTTGTTTCCGAGAAACCATGGATTTTCCGCAGGGTACAAATGCTTGGGGGTGCAGTTCCACCAATAAAAGCGGGTGATATTTCACCATAGATACTAGCGATTATATCCACTCTCAACTCATGCAGCTTCAAATCCCAACTCGTGATACTCATTGGTAACCCCTGGCCTGCACATCATTGATCATCAATGGCCAGAAAATGGCCATAAAATCCAACCAAAATCCACACAGCCGTCAGTGCCGTCAGGGCGCTTGTTGCGCTGGGGTCGTGCCGATGCGGGCAGAGGATTGGTCTCTTGGCAGGTCGGAGGGTTGGAAGGTTGGAAATGAAGTGAAAACCGCGGTGGGAACGGTAAAATTGGTATTTTCATGGGATTTTGCCAGCACAGATTGTGATTTTTCATGGGATTTGATGGGATTTAGTTCGTCAAGCTGGTGCAAATAACATCACTATAGTAACTGATGGATGTTTATGGTAGATATTCATCTGGTTGGTGGTTTGGAACATGAATTTTATTTTTCCATTCAGTTGGGAATTTCAGCATCCCAACTGACGAACTCATATTTTTCAGAGGGGTTCAAACCACGAACCAGTAATCTATACAAGCGATGGTTTTTTGTTCTTAACCGACACGCCGGCGGGGCACCACTACCTTGAATCTGGAGAACCCAACAGCCCTCTATGATCCCATGCCTGAAATCTTGGACTTCCGCACTTAGCCATTGGATATATATATACGATTATATATGATTATATATGATTACATATGATTATATACGATTATATATGATTATATATGATTACATATGATTATATACGATTATATAGGATTATATATGATTACATATGATTATATACGATTATATACGATTATATATGATTACATATGATTATATATGATTATATATGATTATTTATGATTATATTTATAATTATATATATATGATTATATATATATGATTCTACATATATATATACATGATTATATATATATATGATTATATATATATATATGATTATATATATATGATTCTATATATATATGATTATATATATATGATTATATATATGATTATATATATGATTATATTTATGATTGTAAATATATATATGATTATATATATGATTATATATGATTATATATATGATTATATATATGATTATATATGATTATATATATGATTACATATATGAATATATGATTATATATATATATATGATTGTATATATGATTATATATATGATTATATATATGATTATATATGAATATATATATATGATTACATATATGATTATATATATGATTATATATATATGATTATATATATGATTATATATATATCATTATATATATATGATTATATATATATATGATTATATATATATGATTATATGAATCATATATATATATGATGATATATATATGATTATATATATATATGATTCTATATATATGATTATATATATATAAATATATGATTATATATATATGATTATATATATATGATTATATATATGATTATATATATGAATATATGATTATATATATATGATTGTATATATGATTATATATATATGATTATATATATGATTATATATGATTATATATATGATTACATATATGATTATATATATGATTATATATATATATATGATTATATATATGATTATATATATGATTATATATATATCGTTATATATATATGATTATATATATGATTATATATATATGATTATATATATATGATTATATATATATGATTATATATATGATTATATATATGGTTATATATATATGATTATATATGATTATATATGCTTATATATGCTTATATATGATTATATATGATTATATATGATTATATATGTATATACACTACTTGGTGGTTTAATGTTCTTTTTTTGGTGGGATTTTTGGGATGATGATCCACAACTATGATGAGTTTTCAGGGTGAAGGCATCAACCAGCATCAACCAGCCACTGAGGTCTGGAGTTCTTGGTGACGTCAGCTTTGATTCTCTTCATACATCTCCGGCTTTCTGTGGCCCCAAGGGCTGGGCAATCTCAACATCGGGCTGCGAGACGACAGGACCAGGATGCGACCTCGACGACGAGGCTTTCCACGAGGTTTTCGAGGACGAGGCGCTGAAGATCACGAAAATCAGCTGATCCAAAGCCTGAGCGGTGTTAAAGGCGATTTCCTCGGACCGGAGGATCCCATACCTCTGGCAAAAGTCCGGTTGGGAAGTGGGTACCTCATTCTCAACCGGCCCCTGCTGGATATTACCCCAGGATCATCCACCTGGGATCTTTATGGGGGAACTGCCCCATAGAGAGAATCCCCAAGGATTGCCAGTGGTTACCGTGGCAAGTGCTGTTTCCCAAGAGGAAACTTACCATGCCATCACTTGGGAGCCCATCTGAGTCTCGTGATGATCCCAGGAGAGGCGACAATATGCCTGGATTCAGAAAGATGGCACGGACCAAGAAAGCAACAGAGCGGGAGTCCACTTTGCATCATTTTGCCATTTCTGGAGATTAAGGATATTGATGACAAAGAGACCTGTTACATTTTGTTACAAGATATGGCAGATACTTGGCACTTTGGCAGAAATTTCTTTGAAAGAGCTGACTTTGAAAACATGGTCTGAAAGCTCAGAGAGCAGCGCAAAAAAGCCGACGACGTGCGCCAAAATTTCGGCTTGGAATGATACCAAATCCTCTGTAGGGGTCTCTACACCTGTCAATTTCGGGTGGTTTAAAAGGTTTAAATTTTAAAGCCACTTTATATAAACATCAGGTCTTAAATGAATTGGCTCGCGCTAAGGATTCAAAAAGTAATGCCGCCATGCCCCTGAATTGGCTTTAATGGAAACAAATACAGTACAGTACCCCCTGAATCATTTCAACGCGGTGATATTTCTGAGTGTGGCTGGAACCCCGGGGTAACCTGATAATAAACTGCTGCAAACCTTCTGCTCAGAGGAAAAGGGTCAGCTATAGCGACCGAATCCTCGCCGGGTTGAAGGACATGATGTTTATTATTCGATATTACTTGTGCTTTGCCCAGAATATGAGGAAAGGTTGCGCTTTTTGACATGGAGACCTGAAGTATTTCCGAAAGTTGGATTTGTTTTGGGGGCTGGTAAGAGGTTGGCTTATTGTGAGGGCTGATTTTGAAGGAGAGAAGGAACAAAGATAGGGATAGTGTTGAACCAGGAATGTGTTGTAAAAGTCTTTTGATCTTTATTGTATGTGAGTGGACCATGCAGTTGCAGGTGAATTCTTGGTGAATGAGCGGTTCTTCAGCTGAAAAATGGCGTGATGCCATGGCTATTCGGATCTGAATTGAGAATTTTGCATATCTTGCATGATACTGTGGATGGTTGCGAAATCCGGATCACCAGTTGGAAACGGTTTATCATGGTTTATTCCATGATTTATAGGGTTTCAACATCTTTCAACCATCCCAAATTGGTGGTTTATCGGATTTCGCAAAACCACTGTATTTGAAGGGTATCCAGGAGCTTGGCACAGCCACCTTTGGGATCATCCGCAGCATTTACCCGATAACCCCCAGTGGGTCAGCCACTTATCAGTGGGTGTTAGCCACTTCCTATATAAGGATATACTTTACCCTCTGGTTATTTAACATAGCCATGGTATAGATAGCCCATAGATTCATAGATGGTTTACCTTTCAAAAGTGGTGATTTTCCGCCCCAAAGTTGGGGGACAATCGGCACAGGCAGTGATTGGCGTCGAGTGCAAGACCAATTGCAAGAGATTGAGGCCCTTGAAATTTCATCCCACGGTTTTTTTTATCTCACTGTCTCCCAGTTCCCAGTTATGGTGGGTTAAGGATGTTTGCAGTCTGTTAGCTCCATAACTTGATTCTAGTTTCGCCATGTTTCGCCACTGTACCCAGTCTTGATCCGAGCAGAACCGCAGGAAGAAGGTCTGGTGGACGACTTGAAAGCGCCAGGAGGATCGCGGAATTTTTTGATGGTGATTCTATGGGATTTCAATAGGGATTGAGTAGGTCAATGGGATATATCTGGAAAAAACATGTTGTGAACTCATGTCGTTTTCCAGTTGGAGTGATGGGAATTGGATTAATCTCCAAATGGTCGACCGTTTCAGCGACCATTTCAGGGCTGAATGATAATCTAGACACATAACTGGTTGGTGGTTTGGAACACGAATTTTATTTTCCATAATATATGGGATAATCATCCCAACTGACTAATATTTTTCAGAGGGGTTGAAGCCACCAACCAGATCAATATTTTTTTTTAGGGGAAAATATGGGACCATCATCTCTGAAAGGGCATTTTCCAGCCATTTTTTTGTTTGCCAGAGGGTAGTTCAGCAGTGGCTGCGTATGATACCACGGCTGATGATTGTAGGTGGTTCTTCTATCCAACGTCTTGGGGATTTTTTCGCATCATTCACAATGGGAATCCCTCGGAATCCCAAGCAAAAAAGCATGGAAGGACATTTTGGCTTTTGAACACTGCGATTTTTCTTTTTTAAATCGGAAAGCCGTCCATATTTTTTAGCCATTAAACATGGTGATTTTCCATAGTTTTTTGTATGTTTACCAGGCCGGGTCATTGCGAAGCTGGGACACCGAGATTTGGAATGTGATGATGTTCCGACACACACTCCACATGTTGGGTTCCAGATTTTCAGCAATACCATCGCGCATCATCAAGTAGCCACATGGGTCTGGGTCATAAGTGGGTTTACCAAAGATTAGGGATGGCGTAGTATTAGCATGTATTAACCCCATGTTTTCAATGCTTCCTCTGCAGCATTGACACCCATCCCATCTGCTTCGCCGTTTTGAATGACACGAAACCGTAACGAAGCGCGGCAGGAGCTGTAGCGGAAAACTTCACCTCTAGCCATTTGCTCTTCCAGCTACAGCAGGTGTTTTCTTGGGGGAACTCACCTGCAGAGTAGACGAACTGTGAAGTATGGGGACTATGGAAAAAGCCTATGTTTGGGATGAAAATTTCACTGCACATCATGACGACCTGACTGGTTTAGCCCTGATTTTTCCTGGCAAAACTTTGGTTGAAAGGAACTCAATTTGCAGCGCGAACATCAAAAAACCGCTCAACATGGCACCAAAATGCTTCAGAATGGGTTGACACCTATAATCACATACAATCACCATCGTTTTTGGGGATGAATATCCACAAGGATTTTTGGGTGGTTTTGACCCATACCCAGTATGATGGGGTTTTGAGACGGTTCGTGGCCTGGAAATGGCGGCGATTTCCAAATTTTTCAGCAAAATGACCCAAATCCAGTGACCCATATGAATTCATCATGATCCTCTCCAGGTGTGGCTGGGATGGTTAGGATCTGCTTCGCAGGACGGGGAAATTGTTGTTTTTTTTGGCTGGGGTTTCGAAGTCATGTTTTTTTCATGCGTAAATGGGAATTGTACAAGGTGAGGCCCCCGTTTGATAGCTCGGTGATTTCACATCACTTGGTGAATTCGTTGGGGGTTCTGGGAGATGTAACATAACTTGGGGGCCTCACCTTACAAGTCTAACTTCCGCCGAACTTTTCAGGTTAATGCATTCTTAGAATTCGTTGTTTATCCAGAACATTGATTATAATTGATTATGTGTGTACTGTATGTATGTATATATATATATATGTATATATATATACTGATATAGTATGAATGGAAAGGAATGGCTTTTGGGTCCCTGATGACTAAGGGAATCCCCATTGGGATGTGAGTTAGATAAAATGGTCTGTTTGGCAATTTTGAGTAGAACCCATCCCAAATGTTAGGAGTACCCAATTTTGACTCACAGCCATGCAGTGTTTTGATATATTCAACCTGTCACTTTCAGGATAGAGCAACTAGGGATACATCCCAGTTTTTGACAGTGGTCAAATCATCCACGAGGTTTTTTTTTTGCCCATCAAAGCCTCCAAGACACTTTCGATACGTTCAATAGGACATGACTTTGTCTTAACATAGGCGACCCGGCTACCCTCTCATGATTGGTCATGCCATACGTTGCCATAAATTGGGTATCCCATTTCCATCCATTTCCAATCAGTATTGGCAGTATACACCCATTGATTTCATTTCTCAATGTTAGTATATGTAATAAGCATACAGTATATGTATATATATATATATCAATTATTTTTTCACCCATTATTGGCGTGTATATAAACATGTATAGTTTATAGCCATGCTTTACCACTGGCTTTGCTGGCTTGTATCCCCATTGATTTCATTGCTTCCCATTGATGGTGAACCCACCGACTTTGAGTGGACAATTGGACAATCCAAAGATTCTCAATGGAACATTGCAACTTCTCAGAAACAAGCCACCATTATAAAACAATGATATGATTTTCTCCGCAGTTTGTGGAGAAAATCAATTTAATCAATCCTTATTTTTTCCTGGGAAAAAGAGCCAAAAAAGAATCCAAGACGAAGAACATCAAGAGATTTTCCTGGAAAATCCACAGGATTTGCGGGAAAATCCAGAAAGACTCTGAATTCGGAGAAAATTGTCGTTCCCAAGGAGGCCAGCGACGACAACGTGGCCATGGAGTCTCCAACGCCTAGCTCAGCCAAGGAGGCCGGGTGCGAAAAGGTGGGAAAAGATGGGAACACTGGGCGATTCATGGTATATAAGGGTATTTTGAATAGGTTATTTATCTATGGGTATATGGATATGGGTTATTCATATAGATTTTGCAGTTCATCATCGATGAATATCTATGCGCTATTCTATTTCTTAGGTTCAGTTGCCATGAACACTTTGTTTCCTTACACAAGCCGATGGCCCAGTTTGGCTAAGTTGGTGCAAGTAACTCCAATAGCTAGTTTTTTTTTTTTTTTTTTTAAGTAGAAATATCATGATATATCGAACTAGTTAACTGGCTATAGAAACCAACTCGACTGTACCCTCTGGTAAACTTACAAAAAACTATGGAACATCACCACCTCTAACGGATAAATCCACTATTTCTATGGCCATTTTCAATGTCGCAAACTGGTTTGTGCCATCCGTTCCATCCAACTTTCCAAGAAAAAAATGCTGAACAAAAACAGGCTGTTCCTGCCGGTTTGAACCGTAGAAACAATACGAAATTTATGCACGTCCTACCTACGGTCGTTTGTAAGTGATTAGTTAATTTCATAAGCCATATATATACATATATATATATACATATATATATATATATACATATATATATACACATATATATATATACATACACATATATATATATATACATATATATATATACATATACAACCCATGTGTAGCTGGGGATATGCCACCAATCTACCTGGGTGACCAGATGGTTACTACGGATGTCAGGGCCTCTCGCTGCGAACCAGTCCCAGTGCCTCCGAGGTTGGAAAGTTGGTGGGTTTGGGACCCGATTTTTGGAGGAAAAACATATTACCCTCTGGTTATTTAAGGGGTAATTTTTTCAACTATAGGTGATATTATCTTCAATTACTATAATAATCACTATATAATATCAATTACCCTCTGGTGATTAAACGTAGCTAGGGGAAATCATCATTTTGAATTGGTAAATCATCATGAGTCATCATGGTTAATTATCATCTATATTTATGGGCAATTTTCCATAGCTATTTTAATAACCAGAGGGTAGGTGATTGTTAAAATCTGAGATTGTTGTTAAATTCCCATTTCGAGAGTTTTTGGGACATTTATTGTTTGAAGGCAGGATGAAAATAGGGTAGACCATATTTGATGATGATATATTCCTATATGGAGGTTTCCTAAAATAGGGCTACCCCCAAATCACCCATTTTAGATTGGGAATTTCCATGAAATAAAACATCCAGCGAGCTTGGGGTACCCCCCATTTACAAAACCCACCCATATTAGTGATACCCTCTGCTTATTTAACATAGCGATGGAAAATGGCCCATTTATAGATGGTTTACCTATAAAAAATGGTGATTTTCCATGGCTATGGTAAATAGCCAGATGGTATATATATATATGTATATATATATACAGATGGTTTATAGATAGACCCAAGCTTAAGGCAAGCGCCTGAAGAACTGATCAAGAGACGTAGGACGTTTTTTTTTTTCGTCACGCGGATGCTTAAAGCAATCATCTGTTATTACTGATATGCTACCCAACAAACTAAGATTAACAATAGCTGAGCTATGCCAAAATGACCTGTTTGATGATTTAGCTATCAGAAATGATGTTTTTCCATAGCTATATGTTAAATTACCAGAGGCTACTCCTGCAGTTCGCATCCTAAGAATCTTGCCCGTTTTTTGTCGTGGCTGGGAACTGAGTAGGGACCCGATTCTGTACCCGTAAGGCTATGGATCACTCAAAAATGCCTCTGTTTTCACATCAAAATATCTGGTGTTCAAAGATGTTCCATAAAAATGACATGGAATTCATCGATGAAAGTCATGGCCTGCCCGTCCCCAAATCCGGAATTGGAATGTCCTATACTTTGTTAAATCCCCGATATACTTGATGATTTGATGATGAATTGCCCAATATTTATAAAGGGATGCTAATCGTGGCTCATGAGATATTATCTTTTTCCATAATTATATATATGTATATATTTTCGGAAGGTTTATCCTCAGTGTTTTATTGATCAATATCCCCGTCGTTGTTGTTGTTGTTGCTGTTGTTGCTGTAGTTGTGGTTGTGGTTGTGGTTGTTGTTGTTGTTGGTGGTGGTGGTGTTGTTGGTGTTGGTGTTGGTGTTGGTGTTGGTACAAACAAACACTGGGGCCCTGAAAACAAGCTACCCGAGCTTATTTTGGAATTTGCTTAAGGGTAGAAACAAAAAGATATATATAGCGAGGACGGGGTCCCAGTGTTTGTTTGTACCTTGTTGTTGTTGTTGTTGTTGTTGGTACAACCAAACACTGGGGCCCTGAAAACAAGCTACCCGAGTTTATTTTGTAATTTGCTTAAGGGTAGAAACAAAAAGAGATATATAGTGAGGACGGGGTCCCAGTGTTTGTTTGTACCTTGTTGTTGTTGTTGTTGCTGGTGGTGGTGGTGCTGGTGCTGGTGCTGGTGGTCCTGGTGGTGCTGGTGAGTTTTCACATATACCATATACCCCGCATTATAATAGTTGTAGTTCAATGTGCGTGCAAGTTTATAAGTGCTCAACCATCTCTATACACCTGGGGTCGATTCAATTTGTGTTTATCCCATGTATACACGTTGTGTAAAACATGATAAATGGGTTACAACCATGATCATCAACCACATATAGGTTTGCCTGACAATAGGATGCCCCAAATCTACAAAGTGGTTAAACATCTCGTTGGTTCGAATTGAAATGGCCACAGCTGGGGGCAAATGCATCATTTTCAGATGTATCTGTTTTGTTCTGGGTTGAATTCCCATTATATATATGTTATTATATTATTATATATTATATATATATATATTTAGTGATTAGCATTAAGCCCCAATTTTCTGATTATGAAAGCCATCAGCAGCACAGGCCCAGGATACAGAGCCAAGACTCTCCTTTGGCTTTAGCCACCAGGCGTTTGGGGTCACGCGACCCCCATTTTATGGCCGAATTTGACAACAAAAAAACATGGGAAGTCAGGGAACTCAGCTTTTGTTTAATGAAAATAGTATCACTGTAAGTTGTTTCAACTGTTTTTCATCATAGTTTTTTCCCGTTTTACCCACCAAAAGGAGTTCGTTGTTCGTTGGAATTTGGATTTATCCACCTGAGGACCTGGCGGAGCCCGAACGAACTGGACGTTTTTCTGATGGTTGGGCTGTGGGCCGACCCCGCTACCCCAGTGGTGGCCCAATTTTTCAGTGATTTATCATGAAATTCTATAATTTTGTCAGATAAGGATAGATAAGGTATATATATATACATATACATATATACATATGTATACATACACTGTTCTAGTTTTTTCATGATATGTGTTGATTCATGTTACCATACTGTCTTAAAGAATAGGTAACTGATCTCTCTCTCTCTCTATATATATTATACATACATACATACATACATACATACATACATACATACATACATACATACATACATACATATATATATACATATATATACACATATATATACATATATATATATAAGTTAAATAGTTTGATAAGTAGTGTCACAGCGTCGCGGACGAAGTCGGAGACGACTCGTCATCACGCCAGGTGAGTTTCCAGGACGAAGTTCCTGACGAGGCGATGTGTGTCGATGTGATTTATATGGAAAATGGTCCATTTATAGATGGTTTACCTATAAAAAATGGTGATTTTCCATGGCTATGCCCTCTGGTTATTTAACATAGCGAACTGGAAAATCCCTTATCAATGGAGGTTTTAATGGGAAAATTATCTAAACATGGGCCATTTTCCATGGTAAGCAGATGGTATATATATATATATATCTACAATATATCATGCTAATCTTATATAATTTATCCAGACTCTGACAGATATCCCATATATACAGTATATATTATTGTTTGTATATATATATATATATATATTTGGGGGTTTTCATAGTCATGGGATACCCAAGCTCGCTGGATGTTTAATTTCAGGGAAACTCCGAGAATAAAATGGATGAGAACTGGGGGTAGCCCTATTTTAGGAAACCCCCAAATGGCTAGATGGTGGGAAAAACAACAGTGATTTCATAAAGCAGCGGGCAAATTTCATCACGACCTCACGTCGCGACCGAAGCCTGGAATCATGGTTTATTTCAGGGAAATCTTCCCAAAATGGCCCAACATTTCAGGTTAGTGAATTAGTATACCCTCTGGTAAACAAACCTAGCTATTGAAAATGGCCATAGAAATAGTGAGTTTTCCCATTAAAAAAAATGTGATTTTCCAATGTTAGTTTACCAGAGGGTAATTTGCCCAGACCAATGGTGGCTGTGTCGATGGGTAATTTTGATCTACTGGGAATCAACAGTTGATGATAGCCACAAGGGGACCTATTTACCCCCCTTGTACCTGGGCTGTTGAGAGAAACCCTGACGTACATACAATTTATAAATAATCAGAATATATGTATCATATATAGATTCATATACGTACATATATTTCTATATGTAATGTATATGTAATGTATATGTAATGTATATGTAACGTATATGTATTGGATATATGTATTGAGTATATGTATAGTTAAAAATAAATCCCCAATGATCAATGGACCTGGGGTTAAACGGCTCACATGTTTGTTTCTCATAGTCCCTTTCCACTTCCTTTCACCTAATTTTTATCACATTCCTCACAGGTGGAATGCATTAGTTATATTCATTCTGCAGTCACTTATCAGGGATATGTCATATCAGCAGGACGGTATTACTCAACTCACAAAAGATTGGTTGGAGGTATGTTGACTCTTTTTTCTGGGGATGTGAATTCCCTGTTTCTTCGTAGTTGTGGAGATATCTATCCACCATCCTTGTCCAAACAGTCTTTGCATTTCATGTTGGATTCATATCCTTTCTCATCACTTGCATCAGCGTGTGTCCAACTTATATATACACCGGTTGTTCCGGAAAATCATTCATCCCCGTCAAACAAAAATCCAATTTTGGTCGCTTACTGTACATCTCGGTGACAAGCCAAAGCATCAGTTTGTCCTCCCACTGTAGATCCAAGCGCTTGCCTTTTGTCCACCTTGTTCTGGCTGAGATTCCCAAGTTTTGCACCACAACTTCCCAGTTTTTCTGTGACTTAGCCCACAGATTTCAGGTGCAACAGTTGGATGTGGCCGAGGTGCGATGTGCCCAGAAAGCCATCATACCTGCAGGGGATCATGGAATGATGGCATTTGCGAAGCGAATTAAGCGGCACCGCACACCATTTTCGCCATGTTCGCATTTTTTTCATCATTTTTTTCATGTGGGTTTGGACAAATCACAATTCGCCACGTTTCGTAGCCAATCTTTTCTTCGCTTTGAAAAAACCTATTACGGAGGGATATGAATTGGCTAAGCGGGACCATATCTACAAGCAATGTATGGGTATATAATAGGACGGTTGGGGCTCCGTCGTTTTTTTGTATTCCCATGTTTGTTTGGCAATCGAGAATCCAACTTTAAGCCAAGAGCAGTTTTGGGGGTGATATTAAAATTATTGGCTAAATGTTGATTTCAAAGAACTGGACTATGGACAATGATTAATTAAGTATATAGTTATAGATGATATCAATGAGTTTTTTTTTTTTTGCGGGCTTAATAAGTTGCCCGCGTTGGTTGGAACAGCCTGGGTTCCAATGGTCATCTCGTCAATTTGGCGGTATTTGTTGACGGTTGTTTATATTTGTTTCTATTTTACTTACAATACCACACAATATGTGGAATATGTGGAAAATGATGCCGAAACTTTCTTGATGCTGTAATTTTCCACACATCTTTTTATTACAGGATCTATTATGGATAGACATGAAGAAACAGTGGGAGAAGCAGCATAGTTCACATGAAAATCTCTCTTTGAGTTGGACGCCTTCTTAGTGCCTGGCCGGTCCAGAGTTTGGTTCGTTGGAGTTCTCTGGGTGAAGTCACCATCCCGGAAGCACATGGAAAAAATCGGCCATGGCTTCCAGTTCGCTTTTTTGTTACCCTCTGGTAAACAAACATAGCTATGGAAAATCACCATTTTTAATGGGACAATCCACTATTAATGGCCATTTTCAATAGCTACATTAAATTACCAGAGGGTAACCAGAGGGTAGATCACAATTCTTGACAAAATGAGATGGTTTGTTTTGAATCTGCCGCAGGGTATGGGATTGGTTCAGATCCTAAACTACCTCAGACCCATATCGGCAGTTAGTAGTTCGTAGTTATCCCTACATTTTATATAGTCCTTCTATCGCACATGGGGATTAGGCTTAGAAAGGGCCCCAGCTGGATGGACTGGGGTACTATACCTTATATTTTGGACAAACCAATCTTTATCCATGTACATATATACATATGGTCTATAGAATATATTATATAAATGTATATTATATAGACACACTACCGTTTATATTGTAAATATATATATATACAGACACATGTTCATGTATTTCTATGCAATGTAGTAGCCTCAATTGCAAACCGTCTCCACGTCTTGGTAAAAGATAATCCCAATTGGAGTTGTGTGGCACGAGGTTTACTCACATCCCCACAATCTTGAGCAGTTAATGTATTACTATCCACCATTCATATCCATGATTTATACTGGTATATACTTGCTGTGATAAAACCCAAACCATACACCTTCCCCAATGATACTTGTATTTCCCGTTGATAGCCATGTATCATCATATATCATCATTCAATATCCGTCATAAGTAGTTATATATCATTATATGGCAGATATGATATAAACAAATCATGTATATTCAGGGGTAACCCCCATATGCTCACCGACTTGGAGATCCAGTTTCAAACAAACTTAAATGAAGGAAATCCAATTTTGTCCTGCTTACATCCCAATTTTCGATCATAAAACCACCATGTTTCATGGTTATCTTCATTTTTCCCCAGAAATGACTGAAATATTTCTGTCCGTGACTAAATAAAGATACAATTTACTCGGAAATATGCTAAAATCCCCTAATCAGTTCTATTATTTCTGGGTGGACCTTGGATATATACTTCAATACGTTCGTCTCAACGGATACACACTAACCGGTTACTCAGGTGATTTTCTTTGTTGGCAGGGTATGTAAGGAGTCGTTAGGTAGCAACTTGGATTTTTGCACTTGGAGAATGTGCATATCAGCAAGGAAGACTCCTGGAGTCAGCTTGAGATTGAAAGTGAAATTGAAGGGTATGTAAGATTTGAAAAGGGGCCTGGTGATTTTGAATCTCAAGGTCAATTTCACTGAAAGTGAAATGAACCAAATTATTGAAAGTGAACCAAATTTTTGGTGATTTTGGGGCCTGGTCTTTTGAACTCGGATTCGCCAGGGGGTATGTAAGGCACAGTTCGTTCGCACTTGGCCCCACAAAAAACCTCCCATTTTTCCAATCCTTAGAAAATCCCATGATATTCCCAGTAAATCCATGGGGAACCCCAAGCCATAAAATCCATATCATTATCAATCCGTCAAAAACATCCTGTTAAAACATCCATTCTAAATCATTTTTAATACCATAACGATCCATTATATTATATAATATTATATATATACTTTTTTTTAAATGAAACCAGCGCAGGTTCACCGTGCGGCACGCCGCAGCTTCCTGGGCGAACGTGCAGCGGCGACCTACGAAGCCTTGCAGCCTGGCTGTGCAGATCATTTGACCATCAAAGCATGAAACAAATGGAGGATTTGACGATCTAAAACCATGAAAAAACGGGGGATTTTGCTATGGGTCAAAACCCTGACACCTAATGAAGCCCAAAATAGCTGGTAAATGATGGTAAATGAAGGTGAATGATGGTAAATGGATGTTCATCCCACTAAAATGGATAATAATAGGTTTTGACCCATCCCCATTTGACAATCTAAAGCCATGAATTACTTACTTCGAGTGATCCCCACCAACACATTCTATCTGACATATATTCTGACATTCTATGTGGCATTTTATATGGCATATATTCTGACATTTTTCTGGCAAAACTTTTTGGCAGGGAAGAGGAGGAGAGGACAACTTTAATGAAATCTTGAGACCTTCGGTCTTCCTCCTCCTTCCTCCTAAAATTCTATCTGGCAAATCTTCTGACATTCTTTCTGGCATATGTATCTGGCATATCTTCTGACATTCTATCTGGTATATCTTCGGAACTTCTTTGTGGTTGAGGTCCGGCGGGGAACACTCTGCTCTGGAGCTCGCGGTTGAGGTCCGGCGGGTCGTCGATGATGAATGGCTGTTGCTGAAAACTAAGCAAAATCGCGTGCAGAGTCTGTCAAGGTCTCTTGTTTGCAGATCGCCTGTCTTTCTTTGACAGCTGTCTTGAACTCATGGCAACTTGATGGGGTTGCATCTTCATGCCTCAAGGGTCAGGCTGTTGCGCTTCTTGTGAAATTCGTGGCTATGATTGTCGAATCGCGATATTGTTTAGAAAACGGATATCTAAACGGATCTGATTTTAGAATCGTAAGTGTGTTTCTTAGAAGGATCACGTTTGGGATCATGATTGCATTGGTTTGAAAAGGACTTTTGTTGCTTCTGTTGCTGAGCCCGTTTTACATTCTTGCTTGCGATTGGCACTTCTTTTTGGAAGAATGTTTGGGGGTCAATGGCTTTAATGGGGTCTTGTCTTCATATCTGAAGGGCGCCAGGCTGTTGTTGCGTTTCGTTGAAGCTAATGGACATGATGGACTTTTTTGACATTGCGCTGCTGCAAGTGAGAAGAAACAAGTCTTTGACATTGAGTGGATTGCTTTGAAACCAGCTTGTTTTGGTTTGATTGTTGTGTTTGGGATTTCTTGGTGACCAGCCACGGCCTTTTGTGAAAAGATGTCCGTGAGCCATTGCTAGTTGATGGGGTCCTACGTCATCCTACGTTCATGTCTCCAGGGCTGGCCTGATTACAGGCATCTTGCTGAAGTCCATGGGCATGATTGTAGAACCCCATGAAAATGGGGGATGTGAGTAAGTGATAAACTGACGCATGGCGATTGCCAAAATTCTGTCACACAGTACTCTGTTGGGAAGGGGCGCCGCTTCAGATTTGTTTTCGGTGATGTTGTCGGGTATCTCGCGATTCCCAAGGGCCCAGGTTTGTCAATATATCATGTCTCAAGGGCCATGCTGTTGTAGCGTTGTGTCGAAGGTCATGGACATGACTTTTAAATCCTAAAGGCGTTTGTTAGGATGATGGTTGCATTGTTTTGAGAACAGTATATATGTCCTTTGCCTTGGCTGCTCGGTCCGGTGAAATTTCGTGTGTATAAGCCCGAAGTCTTTTCGCCGAACGTCGTGGAGCCATTGAGAGTTGATGGGGTTTTATCTTCGTGTCTCCGCGGTGCAGTGGTTGTTGTTTCGTGTTGAAGCCCGTGGACATGATTGTAGAAGGCCATATTGTTTATCACATGCGGCAAGAGTTTGGGAATTAGAAATGGCTTGTTTTGAAATTTTGAAAAGATCTTTTTTGGTCTGGATTCGAGCATTTTTTCTTTGTGCGCCATTATTTTCTTGGAAAAAATCGTGGGGCTATTGCGATTTTATGCGGTGCTATCTTCATGTCTCAAGGGCCACGCTGTTGCTGTGTTTTTGAATATGAATGTTCCGAACGTCCTGGGCGTTGAAATCGGTCTTGTTACCCTTGTTGCAAGGATGTAGCTCATGGAACATAAATCCTGCTGATGTGGGGGCTCCGGGGGGCCTTGTTGTCATACCGCGCGCGATCAACAAGCTTTGCTTATTAGGGCGTTTCTTGCCTTCAGCGTTTTCTTGCTCTCAGCAAACTTCTACATTTATCTGCGTTCTTTTTGTCTTTTGTTTGCCGCAGCCTCAGCCTGATTTCATTTTTTATTGGCGATTTATTGATGTTGCTAGCTGATTTGAATGCGTCGTTGGTGTTATCAGCTGATTTGCGCGCGCGTGTGTGTGTGTACCATCTGAATAGATGTAAAACTTCTAATTTGCAGGGGGTCACCGGGGTCCCGGGGGGGTCGGTGACCAACGAAGACACCTCCCCGGGACCCGTGTAAACGTACCTGCAGGACTCCGGTGGTGCACCTGGGCCCAATTATAAGTCGCAGCTGGTGGCCACCGGAGTCCTATATATATATATATATAATTTTTCATTTCTCCTGTTAGGTTTAACTGTGTTGTCTTTGCACGTCCGATGCATTCCACATCAGTAATTCGATAAGACGTTTCTGAGCAAGTGTGTCACTCATACCGTTGTCCGACAAGGTGGTATGAGCCCTTCGGGGAAAGCCTTTCTAGGCTAACAATTGACGGTAACACGATGTCTGAATTTACAATTTTGAATTGGTAATTCGTTTAAGTATAGTGAACTGCTGGCCTTTTTCCTGGTTTCACCCGTCGGTCGTGAAGTGTTTGTTGAACAACTGGCCGCTGTACCGGGCCTTTTTTTCCTTTTCGCAGACTCGCATAGTTGGAAGCCACGACAACAACCTCCTTTTTCAGTGAAGCTCAAGCGCATTCCCGCAGCCATTTTGACATGAACAGGTAACAGGACATGCTTTACAGGTGTGGTCTTTTTCTTTTTGGTTGCTTTGGTGAGGTTGAAATTGTGCACTTAATTCAGGGGTTGAATACGTAAGCCGTCTATAGGGTTGGAACCTGACTGCCGAGGGCCCTAGAGCCTTATCACGATCCTTGCATGAATTGTGGTTGCATCATTTTTTAACTAGTCCCCATGGGTCCCCTTTCTCATGTGTTTCTGCGTTCTCCTCCCTTCAGGTAGGTTGGGTCCTGCGCGTGCCGAGGTAGGCTTAGGTTTCGCTTTGTTAGGTTGGTTCAGGCGCTTCCGTCCTCCCCCTCCTCCGCTGGTCTGGTTGCGTGTCCGTCGGCCTTCGCTTTTCTTTTTCCTTGCCTTTTCAGGGTTTTGCCCGTTTCGGGCTAGGTGTGTTGTGTTGGTGTTTGCTCCTTCCCTCTTCTCTTGCGTTCCCCTCTTCGCGTCCTGGTTAAGTAACTTTCATTCCATTTTCACCTTCATTTCATTTCCATCCTCATCTCATCCGCCCCGCTGTGGCGGGGCGTGTGTGTGTACCATCTGAATAGATGTAAAACTTCTAATTTGCAGGGGGTCACCGGGGTCCCGGGGGGGTCGGTGACCAACGAAGACACCTCCCCGGGACCCGTGTAAACGTACCTGCAGGACTCCGGTGGTGCACCTGGGCGCAATTATAAGTCGCAGCTGGTGGCCACCGGAGTCCTATATATATATATATATAATTTTTCATTTCTCCTGTTAGGTTTAACTGTGTTGTCTTTGCACGTCCGATGCATTCCACATCAGTAATTCGATAAGACGTTTCTGAGCAAGTGTGTGTGTGCTTTGATCTTGATACACCAAGGCCTGCAATGTCTATGCGCTGGGCTGACAATATTGAGTTCCTAAGCTTCGATGAGGCTAGGTGTGAGGTCCACCGTCATGTCTTTGAGTGTTTGTTTCCGATTGCCGCTGTGAAGAGTTGGTGTGAGAAGTAAATTTGCTGGCAGGCACCGGTGATTCCTTTTGAGACCCTGTTCTTAGTGCTTGTTCTCATGTAATTTGCCTTGTATTGTAACCCACCAGCCCATCCAGGAGCTCCTCTTTGCCTTGGAGTACGGTGTTCCTGCCATGCCTGGTATTTGTTACCTGAGTTTCAAGGTGGGGGTGCTGACATACAGATCAAGTTGCAGGTACCACTGTCATGGTACTGATGACCAACATAGGATGAGTAGAGGGTCAACAAAGGTGGATAAAGCTAGCATGCCAAGATTACAACGGGGCCCCAAAATGTCTTTATTGTCATGATATATGGGAAGTTTGGGGCCTCCAGGGATTACGCCATCCTAGCCATTGCTTGCAAGCGTCATATTATGGGATTGTACGTGGGTCAACTGTTCAATCAGCATTGGTTGATGATTTCGGTAGCATAACCGAATAGACATATTGTAAATGATGCATTTGGGGTGCTAAGTTTATGTGGTGAAGAAGACATAGTTAGTTCGGAATCGCATCTCAGGACATCGCAGTCGTAGAATGAAGCAAGAACCAGGCCTTGGGAGGAGATTGATGGCAAAAGGTGAGAATAAGAGGCCTTGCCCTTAGGATGCATACACCAGTGATTCAATGATTGCCGAGAGGAGGGATGCCGCGATTTCCATCCAAGGTGGCCTGCCAGCAGCGAAGCTGCAGACAGAATGTGTTCTCAAGTCGGAGGGCTGTGAACTCGAAGTTCGGGGACACTACGGCCGAGCATGTTGTGGCCTATGCATTGGCCATCAAAGCAGAATTGCTCCGCCACTTAGCTCCCCTGTTGCAAGATGGCTTATCAACACCATGCCTCCGCTATAGGCATCAACCTGTTCTCCTCTTTGATGCATCGTTGTTGCTTACAGAACAAGAGGACCTTACCCCCATGCACGGTCGAGACGCAGGGAGAGAGTTTGTCCTCGAACAACGCTTGCTGCGAACCGCTTCTGCAGTCCTTGGATTTCGAGGTCAGGTCTTCAATGACTTCGAGCGCTTCATGCACGAGGACATGGCTCACCTGCGTGATATGGACATGTTGTTGAATTACATCCAGTTGTATCTATATTTGAACAACACGACTAGTTTGCAGTAGGGTCGGAGTTTTTCTTTCGT